AAAAAACCACAAAAGGCAAACACTGGCAGTAACTTTTATCAGTATTCACCAATAAGACTTTTGTTCATAATATGTGACATGAATATTAAACACCACACAACCAGTAATCAAAATTATATGCTTAATTTTAGAAGTACCAGTTTGATGGTGGATATAGCACATGAACAGCTACTTTATCATTTGATGATCTATTACTGTACCAACTACTAAAGTATTTAAAAAAGTTAAGAATAATGAATTTTCATGAGGGAAGACAAGATTTTTTTCTTAAGTTATTAAAATGTGAAATAAAATCTAGAGTGCCTCCAATATTCATTTTTCCTTCACAGTGCTTTTTTAATTGTCCCTTCTGCATCTTTTGGGTCCTCTTCTTCAACAAAAAATTGTAGGCTTAGCACTATCTTTCCATATATTAATAATATCTATTTGTGAGATTGGATTTTCATTTCTTTTCTCTTTTGAGTGCATAGTATATCTTCAAGATTACTCCTTTCACAGTGTGCAAGTGTTTTTATAAATGAGATGGTGAGTCAACATCATCTGTTCTGGTGATTCTGCTGTTTCAACAGTTTTTAATTGTCTGAGTAGGGTGTTATAACAAACAAGAAGATGGATCAACATAATCTGTTCTGGTGATTCTGCTATCTCAACAGTTTTTAATTGTGTGAGTAGGGTGTTATAACAAACAAGATGATTCAACATCATCTGTTCTGGTGATTCTGCTATCTCAACAGTTTTTAATTGTGTGAGTAGGGTGTTATAACAAACAAGATGATGGTTCAACATCGTTCTCAGAGAGTCACATTATCAACTAAACATTATAGTTGTTTTCACACTTTAGAGCATGAGAATAATCAAAAAGCTAAGTTAATAAATGATGAGAACAGATAAAGGCACCTTGATATTTAGAGGATGGAAGTTCATCTTCATCCTTTTTTCAATCTAAAATAATAAACATTAAGCACATGTATGTAAGTCACGTGTTATTTATTTGAAAGCATATAAACAAAGCACTGCAAAAAAACTTAGTTGTTTAGAGCTGTCTATCAGTAGTGCTAATGGTCTCCAGATCCCAAACAATTGGAACAAAGTACGATCTCCGTTTTATTTTCTTGTTATATAACATGGATAGAAACAATCACATGCTAGATTTTTATTTTTAATATACATGAGATTTTGAATGTAACCACCACTAAATGGCTCTCTCAACAGCAACCTGTGCATTATGTCAGATAATTGTGACCTTAGAAGCCATAATTTTTTATTTTTTTTTACATTCATCTGGATGCTATGCCAGTTTCTCCATTAAACTGGTGTTCAGGCTCATATCCAGATCTCAATTATTTTATACAATTTTGGCTTTCGATTTCAGTTATAATATCTTATTCTTCTGATTTTCTAACAAAATAGTCTTAATTTTTAAGATTTCTAAAGTCATTAGCCATTTTAATAATCTTACATTCTCACCGCTGTAAGCAAATTGACATACTAGGCCTTTTAGTGGATTCTTTTGAGAAGTACATGTCAGAACTTCATTATTAAATGGATTTATACGAATATTTAAAATATAACAAATCACTCATTGTAAGTTCAACTGTTCTAAAGTAAAACTTTACAAGTTAATTTTTTCTATAAATTTTGACAATACTCACTAGCTTTATAAAAAACTCTAAATTACATACATATGCAAACCAAACTGATCATATGATGTGTATGGTGATTTCTTGAATTCATAGATACAAAGATGTAGTAATATCAGTTGTTGATTTGTAAGATAATAAGGGCAAGGTTCTGTAAATTGCAAAGAAATACAATAGTAGGTGCCTGTCTAGCAAAAGCATCATTACAAAGTCTTTTTTTTTTTTATGATTGGGTGTTCTACCGACACTGGCAATCAAAAGATAATATTTCTGCCATTAAATCCATGCTCACCAACTGCTGGTAACCATCTAAGGAAGAATGGATTGGACAAGTTTCTAAAGTGCAAAAGACATCAAGTGGTCAATTATCTCCAACCATACCATGCAAAGGACATTAAAAAAACTGATCTATGTCAAATGGAATCCACTCCAAACACTGCTTACCTCAAAATGGCTTTCTGTTCTGATGATAGAGCCAAAATATGGAACAAACATACAAACCACTTAACTTTGCTTGTGTTGTCCTGACAGTGTTAATTGTTTGAGGTGGTGTAAGATTGTGGCAGGAATTGTATCCTTTAATTCCTTTAAAAAGGCTTGTAACAAAAAAAAGTGCATCATAACTTTATTGTAGATCAAGCTGAATTTCTACCATGAATTTTCCAAGATAATAATAAAGTAACAATTTATCATGATCTTATTGTTTGGAAATGGCTCCAAGAACAAGACAATGAACATATTCATACTTTAGCCAAATCACTAGATTTCAATCTAATTAACTATTTTTGGAACGAATTTGAAAGTTGCATTTGCTTTTATATTCTTTAATCAACATCTATAAATCAACTGCATATCATACTCTAATTGGTTACATTCTGATCATTTGAATTCTAGGAACTTGATTAACTGAAGTCCCAGTTTTCCCTTGTCTGAGTTAGTGTCACAGAAAAATAATAAATATACGTTGAAGAGCATTGTCCTGCTATCAGGAATATAAATTCCATTCCTACTCATTTTGGATTTTTCCATTTCACGACTTAAAAATTTTAGAAGCTCCATAGAAGTTAACATTAAATAAAGTTATGAATTTGGTATTGGTAATGCAATAATATTATGATTGATAAAAATAAATGACTATTGTATTTGCATTTTCAGAATCATTTAGATAATTTTTCAAAATACCTTAGAATATTAGTTTACTTTTACATTCACAGTCTAGAATTTGTCTTTATTTCTCAAGTTTTGGTATTGTATATCTCAAGAAAAATGTATTTGTTAAATTTGCCAAATTTGAGATAACTTCATTCATGTACCTTTTTTTTTTTTCTGTGTTGCACGCATTATACTTTGTGTGTTCTCCAAAAAATAGAAATTAAGGTAATTCCTTAAATAACAGACTGTCTAATAAGTAAGGTGTATAGCAACTTTCTTGGTAACAGTTAAATTATCTGCACAATTCCTCAAATCCTCTTTTCAATGTTTTTCTAGTTGTCTGTTGTATCTCATGTCCATAGGGATTGTTAATACATCACTTGATTTTGAAATGTGATTTACATATGAAGCTAGTACTAATGTTAAACTTTCACATGAATTGGAGCCTGATTTCTATACAAGTTGTATCACCTGTAAGAAGCACCCTAATTTTATTATCCATTCCCTATTATTCCAATAATGTTTCTTTTAAAGTAGTTTGTAAATTATTATAAAAATTCATAATAAACAAAATGAGTGAACAATAAAGCTTACTATGGCTGTAAGTGGAACAAGGCACTATTTCCTGAGCCTTTTGTGTGAAAAACTGACATATTAACAGCTTTACATAAGTGACTTTTCTACAAAAAGTATTAGTGATGTAAAATACATTTGAAATGTGAACAGCACATATATATAATAGTATTGTATAAATATTAAGGTTTCTGCTATATTGTTACTGCAGTGCTGAATTGGTGATTATCTTTATTGCAGTCAGAATCAACTTGTAAGTTGTAGCTCAAGTTTAAGATTATCTGTTTTTCAGAAGATGAAAACAAAAGTTAAGAGAATAATTAGTATTTGACTAATTCCAATGAAACATTTGTTAGGATATATCAATATTTTAAAAATATTTTAAAAAAACCATGGACTTTTGTGAACTTGTTTTACTTAAACATGGAGGCCTTCTGGAAAATGTGTGTTCTCTAAGGATGACCTTGTTATTCTTTGTACAAGCTGGTTACAATTGATGTTGCAGCATCAGAAAATAGTGCACAATTATGGCTCACAGACATCAGTGACGATGGAGAAAAACATTTCATGACTCAACCAAATCTGGAACATTGTTCATATTAGTTAGATAACTAACATAATTTATCATATTGAAATTTGATTTTGTTCCTTTTGATATACTGTTCATCACTAGTATAACAATTATTTCAAAATTTATTAATACAATTTTTAAAGCTTAATAAACTTTGTCCACAGATAATGTTTTTGCAAAATTAACTTCCTGTGTACAAGTCTCTTATATCAATAAACAATGGAACACAACAGCTACAAGCAAACTTGCTTTCCCTGATACCCTATTATGTTTTCTTTATCTCATTTAATCAACAGCAGCACAAAGTCATTATTCATAAACTATAGATGTTTATTCACAGGAAAGGTTTATGAACATATTAAAAAAATTAATTTTTGTATTGTTCACATTAACTTTTTTTATCCATGCATTCCACAACAGGTGCCAAAAACTTGTAATCATGTAAATATGACCATATATAACTTAATGATATTTTCACTTAAATTTGATGTCTGTCAAAATGAGGTTGTCTTGAACCATACATCAGTTAGAATTTTTGTTTTATCACATGCCTTTGGTAAATTACACTGATGATTCATTTATCTGCAAGCTTTTAGACAGTAAAAAGTCTATACATATGTGATTAATACAACCAAAAGGCCATCAAATACACTGGTTTTAAGAAATGCTAATCTCATGTTTTTTAACTGTTTGCATGCATTTGACACACATATTCATCAGTTATATATAGATCTGAATGTAACTCACCAGAAAAAAAAGCCTAATTAAAATTTAAAATTGATTTGAACCAAGTTTGATTTGTAAATCATAGAACTAATTTCCATAAAAAATATGTCTACAGATTTTGAAATATATAACTTTAGTTAATAACTTTAAATTATTTCAATTTAATTTGTACAAGGTTTAAAACTTTTTCATTAAAATATTTTAATTTCTTAATTATTAGAATTTTTAATTTGGAAAAAAATAAATACTGAGTACTGAGGTTTGGATTGTATTACTATTAGTCATAGAAGTTCTTTTGCAATCAATGTAAAATTCTCAGAACTAAATTACAAAATATCTAACATTGTTTTGAGTTTATTTTAAGTCATTTAATAAAAAATCAACAAAAATGAAAAGCTAAAGTTAAACAGTTTAACACTAACACAATGGATTATATTCTCAATTTTATTATGCACTTTAAAAAGCCCTAAGACAGTGTGTCTCAAATGAAGTTATTATGCATTTTTAAAGCTGGAACTAGTGCCTGTCTACAGTAGTAATGATTTTGATCACACATCTACAGCTGAAATGTTTGATGCTGAACCCTTCCATCAAAAGAATAATTAAGTGTTTACTGTGTTCTACAATCAAGCAGCTTCTTTGGGAGTTGAGAATATGATTATGGAATTTGTTTTGTCAACATTGAAAAAAAAAATATACAATGGAAGGAAGTATTTTTTATAGTTTTTCAAAATAGCATCTCATAATCAAAATTTGTGCATTTCACAACAAAAATGATAGTAAAACTAAATCAAATATGAATTTCTTTAAGCCAGAACTAGAGATTATTTAAGTATTTAGTAAACTGTTTCCAAGTTTCATGTACTTTAGTCAAATATTTCCACAGTTAAAAGAAAACAAAGGATATTAGTGATACCCACATGGTACTGAAAGGGTTAAGATGCATCTTAATGAACTATTGCATAACTTTCCCAGTTTTGCGTGTTCAATAAATGAACAAGTATTTTTTCCATCCAACTGATTTACGTTGCATCCAGGGCACACATTCTTTTCTAACACAACCACTGTTTACTTATTGAATTATGTAGGCTAAGTCAAGAAATTAAGTTAAAAGTTAGTTGAATCTTAACACATTTGCTGCCAAATGCCCTACCAGTGGGTCACAACTGACTTTTGGTTATGGACTGCATGACATACCTGTGGGTCCTAGAAAATTATGTTTCAAAGCTTAATATTTCTTGTGGCACGTGAGTTTGGGACAATGTGACTGCTCCTCGGCACCTCTTGAATGTTTATTTTACTTATACTTAATTTATTAGTAAAATACTACTGGTGGCAGTGAACACGTTAAAGGCACACAGGGACAATGCTCAATTCCTGTTTCTTTTGGCAAAAGAAAACAAACATTTTTCACATTCCTCCTGAACATTGAAGGTTAACCCTCAGGTAGGTAGACTGAAGCAAAGTTTGGGTAGTGCTTTGCTCAACAACACAATGATTGTGTGCAGAGGAGCTTCAAAACCAGCAACTTTTTAATTACAAGACCAAAGTATTAAATTAACCACACTGCCCCAGTTTAACAACAGTTTTTACATTAATTTATGTCTTGTGAATCTTTAAAAATTAAACATTTAAAAATTCTTTATATGAATTCAAATGAAATTTTTGTCAGTCTTTTGCTTATATAATTAAAATATTATTTCCATGTGTTTTACTAAACTAGCACAATATTTAAAAAATGGTCTTCAAATTTTTTCATGTCAATAATACATTGAAATTCATATACAATTCTCATCTGAATCACAAAAATGACAAAATTAAAAATTTAAATAACTATAAGCAGTTACTTAAATGTTTCAGTGAAAAGATACCCAAAAATGTATCTCCTAATTTAAAAATATATAAATACCGTAAAAATATATTATACAAGCTTATTTACTCAATACAGTTGTATTTGTACAGTTACTTCACAGCATTTATTAACTCTGTGATTTCAGCATAGCTTAACTGAGGTTTAATTGACAGGTTTTCCAGTTCTTGAGAACATTTCATCACTAAATCTTGAAGTTCAGAATTGCACAGCTTTTCCTGAAAACAGTAATTAATACCTACAGTTTACTTATACACATATGGGTTTTCAATTCTAGATCAAGTCATTACCAAAAAATAAAATTGCATATCTTCAGTTACCCAAAAATATGCTTTTAAATTTAAGTACAGGTTATTTATACATGTAAATGATAGTATATGTAGATTGTTTAAGTGTACATCTTGTGACAACCCACAAACAAATGTTCTATGTTACACTATTTATTTACAAACATATATTATTTTAAATGCGAGTTTCTTTCAACATGTTTATAACACAACATCTTCATTTACTTACTTTAGAAGTACTATTCAGCTTTTCTAGTTCAATGTTGATATTGTTCATCCTATGATGTAAATCTTGCTCCTGCAACCTATCCTGTGCATTGTTGAACTAAAAAATATACATTTGAAATTTTATATATTTTGCAAAAATTTGACAAATCTTAAATTCCTTCTGTGATTCTGAGTGTATTACAAAATTCTGTACTGTTGGTAAGGTCATGTTCAGTTGTTTTTGTTATAAAGATATATACATTTAAGGTCAGTTCAATGTGCTTTACTTAGTGAAACTACTTTTATGACCACTGAAATTCACACACTATGCATTAGTAGGCAAAATTGTATCAACATAAGATAAGCATAACCACATAACTTGCCTCTTTTCAATTTCACCAGTCCAGATAAAATACATAACAAAATGGGGGTTAAATACATCTGAATGTGGAGTACTCTCAGCAAATGCCTCCATATCAGTTAAAATGTTATTTTTTTTAAATTACTTTATGGCTATAAGAGGGTACAAAATATATTAAAACAATACAAAAGAAAACAGATTAATGTACCTTTTCTTCTGTTTTATGATAATCATTCTGTAGCAAAAACTTGAGTTTATTTTCTATAGATTCCAGAGTATTTTGTTCTTCTTGTGTGGGAACAAATCCCTTTCCTAGAGCCATTGATAGCTGTAACATATCTTCGCTTTCATTCTGAATGAAAACAAAAAAAAGACATCTGAATCTAACCTTTCTGATGGCATAATGACTAAAGATATTAACTTTTTTTATTATGCATGTAACATATGTTGTATTCAGTGTTTAATCATTATTTTTGGGGTGAAGCATCCAATACTTTATAGAAATAAAAGCTAAGATGTTAAAAAATCAAAGAAAATGTAAAATAAATTTCATGTGCATGAAGTTTAATATTTTCCTGTTGGAGTTAGTTAGTTCTTTGGTTTGTTTAAAGCAAATATCACCAATATCTAAATTTGCTGTCATTTTATTAGTACACAAAAAAGCGAGCACTGATTTGTCATTTTTCAAATATTAATTACCAAGTAACAATTACATTGGTAATTTAACAAAATATTATTGAGGTATGTAGTGTAATACAATATATTGTTGGGATTAAAGACTAGACTGGTTCCTAGTTAAATAAAATTAGATGTTTAAAATGTATTACATAACTTTTCTGCAAATGTTACAAACCATATGCAATTCCAAGTAGTTTATAAATTACATTACATAATGAATCATATTGAATGCTGGACAAAAGAGATAATGGCAATAATAGGTTCAATCTGTAACCCAAACCTAAATACAAGAAAAATGCTAAACTTAATTGTGACAGAACATAAAATTTACTAGTACTTTTTTTATCCATGCTTGCATGAAGAAAGTTGTTCCATGAGTTTGCTATTACACACTTACAGTAGGCAAAATTCACCAAACCAAACCTTTTACTATTTTAGACTATGGAAACTGAAAGTTTTCATATTTTGTCTGTTATAAACATAGTTAACCTAAAGTATAGCTTCATTATTTTCTAATATACTGAACCTTACTTTAAAATTAGGATCTCATTACTGAAATATCTCAGTTTTAGTCTGATATAATATTTATTCTTACTCCTTTGTTTAGCCAAGGAGTATGCCCTTTGGTATTAAAACTCATCTTTCTTTCAAGCACAGTGTAAGACTCCCCCATGCTATTGCGAACAGACATGATATTAAATATATGAAAAAAACTGTGCTGTTAGTAATAAAAGACCAACTCATACGCAGATCCTTAGTAAAGACATCATTAAACAGAACTGTGTTCTTAGTACTAACGTTTCTTCCATTGATAGTTGTTATTTGTTATGAAGCACAAAGCTACACAAAGGGCTATCTGTGCTCTGCCCACCACAGATAATGAAAACCAGTTTCTAGTGGTATAAATCCACAGACATACTGCTGTGCCACTGGGGGACTCTATCGTGTGTTAATAAATATTAATTTACAATCAGGGCAAGCAACCTACTCAGAATGAAACTAAAAATAAAGTTGCATAAAAACAGCGTAATACATTAAAATAGAATAAAAGTGTAGGAAAATCAATATATGGTATGTCATCAATGTATTTGGATACATGTTTATCCAAAACCATTTCTATGTAAATTTAGTGTTTTCTGTAAATATGATATTTAAAACCAGTAAGGCCTAAGAATATAAGATTAGGGCTATTGGACCAGCAAAACCTATGAGCCAACCAGTAGAAAACAAAGAAAAGACCAATTTTTCCAAAATCAACTATAACCCTTGCTACTGGTCAAATGTAATCATAATTGTTAATCAAAAAATGTAAACTTAATGTCCTTCAAATCCTATCAATTTTAAACATAATACAAGTACAACTTTACATTTTATACTTTAAAGTACTTTTGTATTATTCTTACTGCACTGTTCTTTTAGCTTTTAATTATGCAAACACTGCTGAGTCTGATTAATTTTTGCTAGCCTGCTCTGACCAGGCTTCTTTATAACCAAATTGTTCACTCTTATGAAACAAGTTGTGCTAAATTGCTTATTTGTTTTACTTACTCTTAAGTTTAACTACATAAATCTTTGCATAGAAATTTCAGTAATTTTCATGGTCAATTTCTTTCTTGTAAAGATTAAGTTGTGAATTACAAACATATTTACATCCATTGATGCCGCCAGATAATAAAAAGTTTATTTTTCAATGTGATCTATTAAATTTTTTGTAGAGGTAAGAAATACTTTTCAATGCAACTAAACTTTGAAAACGTATCATCAGCTCAGTATTTAGACTGTCATGTGGACAAGACAGCATCAGAACAAGCCCTTCTGCTCCTCACTCAGTTTATCAGATCTTTAAACCTTTCTAAGACATAAGTAATTATTCATGAAAAACAACAATGCTGAACATAACTTGCTTCTAAGCATCTTTTTAACATTAAGAACAATTATCCTCTTAATGGGAATAATCTTCCAAATTTTCTTTTATATTTTAGGAAATGCTACAAAATTTCTTACATAACCCTCAAGATCTTCAGTACTCAGGTCTTGCAATAGTTGATCTAATCTTTGCTTTTCTTGCATTGTTAAAGAGAAGATACCACAAGCATCCATAACCAGCTGCAAGATTTTTAATACATCAGGAGATAAAAAATTAGCTTAACAATCTGCTAACAATAAACTTAATGTAACATGAAACTAATACTTACAAAAGTAAAACATTAACAGAATCTTTCAAATTAAATAATAGACTTGGGGATTTATTCAACATAATGGATAAACTAATCATTTACAAGCTGAACTAAATTGGATTTATAAAATGTATACTTCTACTTATTTCTGAGTTGTTGTTTTTTTACATCAGTCAAGGGTTAATCTATATTTTGTACATCATCTAATCATGCTAAATTAATATATATGAGTAAAAATGTAAGGTAATTTTAAAAATATTTTTATAACACTTGTAAAAAAGTCTAGTGCTAACACTTTTTTCTTATGTCACTTTCTTTTTTATCTAAACTACAATTCTCTAGTGGTAAAACATCAATAAAAAAAAAGAGTATCTAATATATAATTCAGAGACCATTTGAAACCTTTTACTTCATTTACAAATATATCTGTATTCACATATACACACTACATATGTATAGTTGAACAAATATTTTCCATTTGTTAGGTTACCACATAAATCTAAATGAAAAACATTAATCACAAACTACAGTAATCAAACAAGTTTCTAAAAGTCCATAAAAGCTAAGAAATTAGTGACTCAGTAACAGGGCCAGTCAAAGATGTATACTAAGTAATTTTTCAGACTTTTAATGTAAGTACTCATCTTTGTATTGAGTAATTTATTTCAACTATCACCCAATTTTTTTAGTTTTTTTAATGCACAAGCTTTTGGCTCAATTAATAAACAACTGTTGTTTATCAAACATCTCGCACCTGTAGAAGGTTTAGGTAATTGAGTCGAAAGCTTGTGTATTAAAAAAATGTGGTGATAGTCCAAATAAATTACTTAATACAAAGATGTATGCTATATAATTAACCAGGAGAGCACTAACCAGCTGTTACATTTTTAATATCCACATTTATTCCATATATGTTAACTTTCCCAACGGTGCACAAGACATGAAGAAAATAATTTCTTCAAAGGAAACTTTTCATGTTAGTAGCTTTTACTTATTTGGCATGCCTATCCTATATGTATTTCATTAAAAAACTCTTTTTAATATCGTGAAAAAATCAATTTTTGACACTTATATTTTCAGCCATTAAATACACTCATTATAGAACTCGTCCTAAACTATTGCATATATTTTTATTAGGAGATTTTTCAAAAGAATTAAATCAGAAAGTATTTTTAATAGCACTATATAATAAATTTTAATTATTCTTTGTAAACATTATCAAGTTTATTATTACATTTCTTGTATCAACACATTTGGACTAATATTATCATTGATGATGTAGTAGCACAAAGTCAGAAAAAGAGTATGTGACTGATTCTTTATTATAGATAATTTATCGCTTATTACATGATATCTAAAAACGGTTTTTTATTAACTTGAATAGTGAAAAAAATCTTCACTACAGGCAAATCAACCTCTTACATGAGACAGTTGTTCTCACTGGTATTTTGTTTTTATCATGTATATCAGCTTAACAAAATAAATATTAAATGACTGAAGAGAAAATTTTCTGGAAATATCCCATCCACCAGGTCACTAAATACCTACTAGCATTCAAAGCAAATATGATATCATCATTCGTGGAAATATCTGTCAAATATTCAATTTGCTCATACCATTCCAAAATACATTTGCCAATTATGTTTTTGAAGTTATTTTTCAGTCTATGAAAGTAATTCATTAGTCTGCAAGTTCAAGCTCTTTTTTGTTTTGTTTTTGTGCTCATTTTATTAAAGGCCTAAGAAATAACTGGGTATACCAATAATAATAAATTACTGTTGTTTTCACCATGCAGATTATCCTGGTTTCATGGGTGTTGTAATAGCACAGAAAACATTTGGAAATTTGTTTATACAGAGCACCTAGTGCTGATAATCATAAGAAGTTAGTGAGATGAAAAGCAAGAATGTGTGGAATAGAGAAATGAAGGACTAGATTATGTAACCATGTTGTAATTGCATTGCTATTCTCACACCAAATTTGGAATATGTGAAGAAAAGGGAGGGGTAAAATGCTTATGCCAGTAAAATTCCTACGACCAGCCTTGCTCCAGAAGATTAGTGGGAAAAACTTCCATGCAAAGACATTAACAAACATTTACAAGAATGACTCAGTGATCACCATATTATATTTAAAAGTAACTTTGAAGTAAAAATGTATTTTCCAAAAAAATGTTTTCTGTATTTTCATATTTTCTTCTTTTTTACAAGCACCTACATTGTACAGAAAGATACATTTTCTATGAAATTACAATCAAAATGTTACACAATACCAGTAGCATACTTAAGACTAAAAACAAAACCCTATTATAATGCACTTTGATTTTGTTTTATAAATTTCTCAGGAATATCAGTAAAGTAGAGTTTTATCTGAAACCTTTAGGTACCAAAAATTAAACATATTTTAATTGTGATAAGACACTTAACTTTTACAGTTTTAACAAATAAAATATGTTCTTGTTGGCCACAACAAAGAACCCAACTTCTTTTATAGATTGTACACTGTATAATACAGGAGTTAAATATATTATATTAAAACAATTTTTGAGCTTTTCCAAGTTGTAACAGCTCACACCATATTTGGTCATGCTCTGTGTGACAACCAAGCATCTTGATAGTAGCCCTGCAGAAAATTTCCAATGCAAAAGACTCCACAATAATGATATCATGTTCAAAGCATATCATTCATCCTGACTTGCTTTCCATAATCCACGTAGAATATGAGGACAACACGCACAGTTTTCTCTGCCCATTTCAACAGTCTGATCATACAGAAACTCACAAGTGCTGAATCCAGCAATTTAACCAGTACGTCTTTATATGGAATAGCATGAATATCCATTTCATTCTGCATCTGCTTGAAGTATACTACAGCTGAATTGATATGTCATGGAAGCAACTTGTGTATATGTGAATAGTATAATTTTTCAAGATAGAGATCCTTCTTGATTATGTTGCGTACTGATGCCTGGACTATGTGAATGGCTTTTGCTACTTTTTTTATTTTAGTGTGTTTCACATATGACTATGAAATAGTTTTATCGTACAAATCCCACTCATGAGGAAACCACCATGGTCCACCACTCCAGTGACTGAGAACCAGAAGTGGCAAGGACCTGCGTGCTCCACTAGAAGAAAGAGGGAGGGATATGCACTAGGAGGTGGGGTCCAGAAGAACGACTCACCATAGACAGTGCAATGGGTGTCTGCATTTCCCTAATTTGAAAAGGAGAAAGACCTGAATTGTAAAAATCACAGGTCAGCAGGGATGGGCAAAAATCCCTATCTGCTTTACTCAGGA